AAGAAAGAACTAAAGAAAGAAAGAAAGGAAGAAGGAAAGAAAGAAACTGAAAAAAATAAAAAAATAGATAAATAAACGAAAAAAATTACTGCCTATTTTTCGTTATCATTTCTGATCTTCCCACATTTCTATTCTAACAGTGTTACACGTAATAGAGAGATCGATTCTTAGTTTTTCTTTCCCATTTAATTCTATTACCACATCATATCAATATTACTTGCCGTCCGTATAAGCCTTGTGGTGATTAGATCTGAGTTCCGGATTTATTTCATTTCACTTTTAGAAAAACTAATCAAAATTAATAAGCTAGTCTTATACCTGTGAATAATCCAGACCCGAACAGATGTTACAGTGCTAAAATTAGTTTTCATTCAATTTCGAAAACCTAAATTGATCCTTCGATTAAATTAGAGTAAACAGCGTATTTCGCCTTTCTCTTGACCACCACATGACGTTAACTTGACCACAACTGCTAGTTTGGATTCAACGGAATGTTTTCAACAATAATAAACTCAAGCTTGGAACAAAATCAAGCTTGGGGTATTGTTAAGCAATTGGGACATCAGCCCTGTAACTATTAATTAAATGAGAATTAAAAAATAAAGCCATCATGGAGACATCCATATTTTGGAATAGCGTGTCTTAAGATTTCCGTAAGGTTAGCTAAGCCTAATAGTGTAACCTTTGACAGAATGGTGATTAAAAATGCTGTTACTACTAAGGGTTTCTGATCAAACAGCTGTTTCGGTAAACTGTTTGTAGAATCGCTAAAGCGAAAAACCATAAAAGCGTGGAATGCAGCCCCCTGGCGTGCTAGTTCAACTAAAAGTTCAAATATTTGCTACATGATGATGCGGCGAAAGGTTGTCGCCCGCAGAATAGCTTACGGGAACAGCACCGGCCTAGTTATAGATTCTAGGGACCTCAGAAGATAAGCGGCCGAAATAGTCACACACTCACAGCATACAAATTGCCACGCTGTCACGATTTATCCTGTGTCCCGAAGGTGTCGACTTAGAAGAGAGAATATACAAAGAACTGAAATAAATCGTCGTTGTTTTAGGAGGGTAGAACTGACTTACAAACCTGTGGCCCTCGTTCCATGATGGAAACGATTTAGAAGTCGATGTGCTCGGAAAGATGGCAGCTGGAAAACCCGGAGAAAAACCCTCGAAACACTGGAGAGAACCTGGGAGAAAATCATGCAACTAATGAGTCTAGAAACTCTACTCATATAATAGACACCGAGTCCGGGAATCGAATTTGACAGGGCAAGAGAGCTCTCACCGCTTCGCCGTCCACACCAGAAAAATCGCGCTTGAAATATAAATATTTGACGACGGCTCTACATCTTAAATTTTGGTTTATCTCATGTATCTCGCTATCATTCATTAACTTCAGTGTAGCTTGGTAAATATGTACGAATAATGTTCGTCAGGTTTTGTGTAGAGCGACAAATTGTAACGTAAGCCACTCACACGACGCAAATGTCCAACAAATGTACGGATTAGATTACTGCTATGACGTCATGCGGTGAGTGACGTCACACCAATGCTGTGCATGGATGGATTGAAGAGAATCTTACGAATTTGAAAGTAAGAGGAGAGTTTACAAAATTGCGTAAATCGATCGATAGGGTTATGACCTCAACTAATTATCGCCATATATGGTTACGACTTAGTTTACACAGGGTGTATATTGTGTATATTAACTTTCTAAGTTGCTTGTTTGTCACGGTCGTAATAGCGCTTGAACTATATGAGCAAAATAGGGATTTTTTTATGAAAAAGGTCGGCACTAGACTTGAATTAAGATTTTGAAACAGGCAAGCGAATATTGACAAGCAACAGGCAAGCCTGAAACACGAAAAGAAAAAAGCAAACGAACGAAGGAACGAACGCCAACGGACCGAACGAACGACCGACCGACCGACCGACCGACCGACCGACCGACCAAACGAACAAACGAATGAATGAATGAATGAACGAACGAACGAACGAACAAACAAACAAACAAACAAACGAATGAATGGCCTTTCTTCAAGTGGATTCCAATTTTAATTGGATTTTTTCGGAGGGAAGAAAAATGGAGAAGTAGCAGAAAAACCCTCAAAGCACGGGAAACACTAACTAACAACT